GCCGGGATACAGAATCACTAACCCCTGTTCCAGCTTGGGGCCTATAACAGGTGCAAAATGATTTATATTTTCCTAATTGACAAATTCAGACTTTCCTGATGTGAGTCTCAGCTGAAATGACTTGATCTGTTGGCAACATGTGTGATGTTTTATTGAGTTGATTTGCCCGGGCTGGGATTTCCATTTGAAAAAAATTCCTTTGAGATGATTGAGTACTCTCTTTGTTTTCCCCTTTCCTCTTGTGAGGCCACTATACTTACCCGTGTACTGCCTGGCTCAAAGTAATTACAGTTTTAAGGCTGAGAAAATGCAAAGTTGAATTTGGGTGGCGGGGGGATAGGGAGATTTCTGATGAGAAAAAAACAAACAAACATCTTTTTTTGTACCAACTTTTGTTGAAAGAGAGAAAGCAAGTGGTGGGGGGCGGGGAGGGCAGAGAGAGAGAGGGAGACGCAGAATCCGAAGCAGGCTCCAGGCTCTGAGCTGTCAGCATAGAGCCCAATGTGGGGCTTGAACTTACTAACCGTGAGATGATGACCTGAGCCAAAGTCAGACCCTTAACTGACTGAGCCACGTGGGCACCCTCATTAAATGCATATTATTAAGTGCAAGAAGCCAGACTCCAGAGGCTCCATTCTGTGTGAGCCCAACTGTGTGATAATCTGGAAAATGCAAAACTATGAAGACGGCAGAGAGATTAGTAGTTTGCCATGTTTTTCAGAATCATTGAATGTTCTCCAAGAGCGAACCGTAGCATTAACTATGGACTTCAGGTGATAGTAACGCATGAGTGTATGTTCAACAGTTTTAACAAATGTCCCACCGGAATGGGATTGGTGATAGTGGGGAATGTTGTGTTTGTGTGGGAACTTCCTGTACTTTTCATTCCCTTTTGCTGTGAGGTTAAAGGTAGGCTCAAAACTAAGCTTCTGCAGCTTCCCCCAAGGCCAAGGTGGACAGTTCAGCTTCACACCCCCTTGCCCATCCCTACTTTCTGGTAGTTACTAAAACCTTACAGGACACTCCTGATTCGAGTCCTGTGAGACCCCCATGGAAGATGGTCGTAGTCAGTCTCTGTGTTCTAAAAAGCTATTACTCGGGGCGTGTGGGTGGCTCAGTCGGTTAAGCATCCGACTTTGGCTCAGGTTGTGATCTCACAGTCTGTGAGTTCGAGCCCCATGTTGGGCTCTGTGCTGAGCGCTCAGAGCCTGGAGCCTGCTTCAGAGTCTCTGCCTCCTCTCTCTCTGCCCCCCCCCCCCCATCTCACGCTTTGTCTCTCAAAAATAAATAAGCATTAAAAAATTAAAAAAGTAAATAAAACACTAGTACTCACTGGAAGAAATGGGATGATTGATAGGTTCAAAGCTCATCACCTCTTCATAAGGGGTAGCGATCCCTTTAATATCCCAACTAGCTCTTTCATAAATGGAAGTGAACGGCTTCAAATGTGCATTTCTACACACCACCAAAAACTGGAAAAGTTTATTTTTTTCTTATAATGAAAAAATACATGTTTATTGCGGAAATAGGACCGAAGAAGAAAACACCTGCGATTCTACCACTTGGAAGATAACCACTGTCAGTGGTTTGGTGGTCATACTCTCCTTTACCTGTGCACATACCCATAGACATATCTACAAACATTTTTCTACAAAAATATACCGAATATTCCTTCTTGGTAAACCGATTTTTTCCATTTGTGAGAATTGGATGAGCATCCTTCTTTCTTCTTCACTTCTTTGCACAATAAACTTTCGGATGGATTCTCCACTATTACCCTGGTGTTTAACAATTAGCATTTATTTTTTCCAATTTTCCTCTCTTAGCTGCTTTAGCAAATGTCCTTGTGACTGAAGGGTAAAAAAAAAAAAAAAGAATAGCTGGGTCCAAAGTTGGGTGATACTTTAAGACTCTTGATTATTATTGCCAAACTATTCTTAATCTTTATTTATTTTTGAGAGAGTGGGAGAGAGACAGAGTGAGAGCAGGGGAGGAGCAGAGAGAGAGGGAGACACTGAAACCGAAGCAGGCTCCAGGCTCCGAGCTGTCAGCACAGAGCCCGACGCGGGGCTCGAACCCACGGACCGTGAGATCATGACCTGAGCCGAAGTCGGACGCTTAACCGACTGGGCCCCCCAGGCGCCCCTATTGCCAAATTATTCTTTCCAACTGTACACATTTACATGGTTTCTTTGCTGTTATTCCCCCTCCCCTGGTCTTTGCTCATTTGACAGTCCCGAAACATTATCCCATTTTGTGGATTTTGACTCCAGCGAGACTGACCGTTTGTTCAGATGTTAACTGTCAGTATTTTTCTCTTAAAAATTGCTCATTTCTGCCCTTCCACACGGTTACCTGTTGGGATTTCTCTTTTTCTCATTGGCTCATAAAATATTTTCAAATATGAAGTACACTAGTGTACTTATAAGTAAGCAGTGGGAACATTTCTCCCCTCTGTTTTTACCCTGTTTATGGTGGGGTTTCAGAAAACCGTTTGATACCTGTATGTTATCTGTATTTCTTGTTTAATTTACCTGTCACTGATCTGGCATTATAGTTCATTTGCTTTAAGGAATTATCAAAAGGAGGGTTGTATCCCCCAAACCCTCTCCAAAGCATCCCATGAGCATCCAGCGGAAACACGTATAATTGCAACATCATCAGTGTCTCTTTCCCCACCTCAAAGAGCTACAGAGAGCACAGTTCGTTTTACTAGATCGTTGGCCCTGATGAATTCTGGCGAATGTTTAACTTGCAGGCAAGGCTATCCAAGCCAACTCACCATCTAGTCTGAAGTTGGCTACAAATGGTTGAGGTAGGTTTTTTGTTTTTGTTTTTTTTTCTTTTCCAATCCTGCTAGAAGAACTTTATGTCTCTTCTCATGAATTATGACATCTTGTCTTACTGAGTTAATAGTATCTAATGGTTCCGTCTCCAGGTAACGTAATCCAGCTGGAAATGCAAGGTGTGCGGAGCCCATGTTTGAAAACAAAAGAGTATTTTTCTCCAGCCAGTAAATAAAAGTGATTTTTCAGCTATAAAAGGACAAAAGGTTTTGAAATGATCCCACTGGGCAGGGTTTCCTCGACTTGTTTTTTTTGGCACTGAGCCATGGAGCTAACCCAGCATCTTCCAGACTTCTTCCATTTTTGTAGCAGCGTGAAGAGTTTGCTAGATAAGACCGGAGTACCCCCCTCCGCCCCCCGCTCGCTGCGGCGTGATGATTCACGCCTCGGCTCCTCTCACCCTAGAAGCAGCTGCAACCTAAAAGTGTCATCAGCAGATTATTGATCAGCATGTAGGAAGAACCGAACAATGATCGTTTTTCCCTTTAAATATCTTCACTGCCCTCTCAAGGTTGTATGTTTTTCTTCTCAAGGAAACGCATTTAACATTTACCACTGCAAACGTAACGAGACGAGTAAACGGCTCATAGCTCCGTTGAGAAGTTGTCACGAGTGTCTAACTCAACGGACATATTATCTCATTCTCTTTCCAAGGTTTAAATAGCTCTGGCACATCGGGTCTTCCTTTTTGATTTTCTGTACGTGTTTTCATGGCCCTGAAACCTGAGAGTGCTGTTGTCCACTCTCATTGCTCTACTGTAAGAAGAGATGGTCCTCCCCCTGGTCCCGGTCCCCTTTCTTACGATATTGCTGTTGATAGTGTCAGAGGGTGAAATTATATGAATAGTTGAGAGCAATCTGCCTCCAGGTACGTATTAAGGAATCAGAGCTTCGAGCTGGCCAATAGACAAGTGCTTCCGTGGGCCTCTCGCACATTCACCTGGTTCTTTTTGCGCAGAAAGTTACCTGTTTAGCTGGCGCTTCTCTTTCCTGTGAATGCCGCAGTACAGACTGCCTCTCTTTCTATAGCGTAGCCGGTAGGATCAAGCTTCCCAGTTTATTCCTGCATCAGGGACTTTGCGGTTGCTGTCCCTTGGCTTGAAACGCTTTGTCCCCACCTCTCAGCATGGCTGACTCCTTCTCAAGTGTCCGCCCAGATGTCATCACCTCCGCGGAGCTGACCAAGACCATCTGTGTTCATTTCCTAAGGCTGCCGTCGCGAAGTCTCACAGACGGGGTGGCTTAGCACAACAGAAATTTACTGTCTCACTGGAGGCTAGAAGTCCAAAATCAAGATGTTGGCAGGGTCATCCTTCCTTTGAAGGCCCTAGGGGAGAATCCTTCCTTGCTTCTTTCTGATGGCTGCGTATGTTCCCTGGCTTAGGGTAGCGTAATTCCGATCTCTGCCTCTGTGTTTATGTGACCCGCTCCTTTGAATTTCTCCTGTCTGTGTCTTCTCTTCTTCTAGGAACACTTTTCATTGGATTTAAGTTCCACCTGGATAATCCAGGATCATCTCATCTCAAGATCCTTAATTATATCTGCAAGACCGTTTCCCCAAATAAGGTCACATTCACAGGTTCTGGGTGAACACATCTTTTGGGGACGCCACTGTTAGCCCTACTATAGATAAACTACTACTCTAGATCAAGCAATTCTTGCTGCTGTCGTAGATGTGACGCCATCACTCAGTTTATTTTTCTCATCGCCCTTGTCCTTATTTAATGCATCGTTCTCTTGTCTACGTCTCTGTTGTCTGTCTCTACCCACATGAATTCAAGCTTTGCGAGTAAAGAGCTATCTTACTCACTGCTCTGTCCCTAACACCTAGACCAATGGTTGGTGTATTGTAAGTGCCACCAAATATCTACCGAGTGAGCGATCCCATTGGGCAAATGTAATCTCAGCTTGACTCTTTGGTACTTTTAACAACGTCCAGGAATTTAGTTTATTTTCTGATGTTATTTTATGTTATTTGAATTTCTGTTGGCTGTTTTTGGAAACGCAAGGGTATCGTGGGACGTATATTTATCACGATGGATAAATATGCCCAGCCATTTCAACATCCCATTGCTAACTGGTCTTGATAGTTCATTGAGATTTTACTTTTTCCCCAGGAACAAATCCTCAGCAACATATTTCTTTCTCCCTTAGGCTCTGATCACCTCCGGGAAAAAGATGGCCTCTGGGCGGTCTTGGTCTGGCTTTCCATTCTGGCTGCCCGGAAGCAGAGTGTGGAGGAAATTGTCCGAGATCACTGGGCCAAATTCGGCCGCCACTATTATTGCAGGTGAGAAGGGTAAGGACGCTCGGGGGGCCTATTGTTAAGGAAAACTGGTGGGCTAGAACCATAAGAAGGAGGCATCTTTCAGGACAATCTGAGGAACGTGGGGGCTGGAGCCCCTGATAGGTGCTTGGGGGTCATGTCAAGGACACCCAAACTGGAAGGCACAAATGTCCCCTCCCTTAGTGACCTTCCTCTGTAATCTTTTCATCAGTGTCTATAAAGTGGGCAGCCATCCCAGGAGGGAATCTGAACTGCAGAGCATTAAAAGTCCTTTGGTGCCCAAGAGAGATGTATAATCCCATCAGGGACTTTCCTTGTTGGTTCTCCACCCATAATTATCAAGGCAGGGAGGCAGAGATCAAAGCTGTGAAGGTTAGAACGCTTCTGTGATCCTCTCCTTCCCTCTGCCTTGTTTTCCCACTAATGGTCCCAACAATGTCTAAGGTGCCTGAGCTGGTTCCCTCTGAAGAGGCCACATGGTCCAGGAGGCCCAGATTTTGCTAAAAGTTTGTCCCTGTGGAAAGAGATACAGAAAACGGAAGTGCAAGCCTGGGAGGGAGGAAGGGAGAAGGTCAATGGCTGAGCACTCAGGGTTGGGAGCCTGTATCACTTTCCTGTTTTTGAAGTAGGTGAGGGGTCACAGTCTTCTGGCTGCAAGGTTGCCTGCTAGATATGTGTCCCTAGATATGCTAGGTTTGTGTACCTAGTGCCAAGCTGTGGATTTGGGGAAGCAGTGGCAGAAATGGCTGTCAACTGTGGAGAACCTGGGAATGGGGCAAGGGAATCCTTGAGTATTCTCAGAGACGATGTACTGAAACCAGAAATTGTGGCTCATTTGCTTTGTTTGTGAATAGTTAACTACTTGGGATGTTTGGTTACATTTCAAGAGCTTAAGGAACAGAACGAAAGCTCTAGACTTGCCTTATAAGGTGATTGTTTCTTGTCTTAAGAAGTCATTGAGCTAGATACATATCAGAGAATAAGAAAGCCTGTGATAGGATTCCTTACAATCTAAAGGATCTTGGCGTTCTGGGAACAGTTGACAGTGTTATAACCGTCTTTGTTCCTGTCCAGTTAAGAAGGCAGAGGTTGTAATCGCCTGAAAACCGCCTCAAATTATTCCTTGTACTATAAAACAAAGACTCTCAAGGCAGGTGGGAATTTGTTTTACTTACCAGTGTTTCTAACAAGTGCCAAAAAATCCTGATTGTTGTGGGCCTTTTTGGCATACCAAGGAACTAATTGGCACAGCAAGGCTTTCTATTGCATGAAGCCGTTCCAAAAAAGCCCAACCTGATAAACTATGTTATGATTGCCAGCCTCTGGCTTAGTGAGATCACTCTGAGTTGGGGATGTGTGCCTCATAATTCGTGCAATGATTATCTAGCTCTCTGCCAGGGTTTTGAAGACATGGTGTTATGATAAGTGTATTTATAATACAGTTCATTTGTGTGTGTGTGTGTGTGGCCAAGAGCTTACATGATAATTACTTTTTTCATAACAAATACCATATTAGAGAATATAATGCGATGGAGATTTAAATTCTTGTAGGACATTGAATTATGTTTCAGATTTCTGTCCAAAAAGATCACAGAGATAAAGGAAAAGGGAGGAGAGACTAGGTAGAATGAAAAGTAAACCCTTTTTTTTTCAGGGTCTAGCAAATGCAGGTTGTGAAACAGAATGACTTCTAGCTGTTTTGTTTTTTGTTTGTTTTGTTGTGTTTTTTGGTGGGGAGGAGAAAATAAAAACAACTTTGGCCTAACTATTTCTGAGCCTGAAGTCGTATGTGAGAACCCAGACGGATTTGCCTCATACGAGTGGACCCCAGAAGGAATTCTCCATTGAAAGATGTCCTCCCTTGAAGCTGTGTTCCTCTGGTGGTCAGAGGGGGTTGTCGGCCGTAGGGCAGGTATGGGGTGCTGGAGTCTGCTTGCCTATGAACGTTTGGGCAGGCGGGCAGGCTGGTCTGATGACCTCAGCCATAGACTTGAATGTGATCTGTCACAGTAGTGGATTTCCTCAACTTCGAAATCTCTTCCAGTGCCTCTCTTGTATCCTAATAAACCCTCTTATCCCATCCCCATGCCCCTCTCTGCTTGGCTCGGTCTTCATCTTACCCCCAAAAGACTATCTTCAAAGAGAATTTAGGCTCAGTACACATACACTGCTGAGAATGTTCTGAGAGAGTTCCTGGTTGTTTTGTTTCTGAGGGCGGGGAGGACACAGCTGTATAGGAGGGAGAGAATAAAAGAAAGAGATATAGGGACAGAGGACTCATTGCTAGAATTGGCATCATTCCATGTTTTCCATTTTGGCTAATACCCTGCTGTTTACTTAAAGCCTTAAAAGATCTTGGGTGAAGGAAAAACAGTAACGATGATTCGTGTTCCTTCTTTCAGCTCACTGAGAACTCCCACCCTGTCCCTGTGTTACACAGAACCCAGTCGGAGATCCCACCATAGCCAATTGTGCAAAGTTGCACCTCTGAGGGTTTCTTTCTTAAACAGATCCCCCTGGGTGTGCCATTAGGTCTTGGTCAAGACTGTCCACCATTGGGCAAGACCCTTTGTGATAGTTACTAAGAATAATATCAATTAATAGTTTTAAGCAAATGATGTCTGGCACTGGACCACCTACCTGATGTGCATTATAGTATTTAAACACCACAAAAACAAATGAGATAGGTGTTATTTTAGTCTTTTTTTTTTTTTTCTAATCACTTTCCAGCCCCATTGTTACATTTGATGTTCTTGGCTAGGAGGATTTTTTTTTTTTTTTTTTTTGATGGAACAATTGTGCTATCTCTTCCAAGTTTCCAAGAGAGTTTTATGGTACGCGGAGCTCCCTTCCTCCTTCTTTCTTCACCTCCCTGGATTCTTCTCCCTCCTTCCTTTCTCCCTTCCCTTCCTCGAATTTTTCATCCCACTACTTAGAAAACACTTACTACTGGGGCGCCTGGGTGGCTCAGTCGGTCGAGCGTCCAACTCTTGATTTCAGCTCAGGTCATGATCTCATGGTTGGTGGGTTCAAGCCCTGCATCTCAGGCTCTGCGCTGACAACGTGGAACCCTCTTGCATTCTCTCTCTCCCTCTCTCTCTGCCCCTTCCCTGCTCTCTCTCTTTCTCTCTCTCAAAAAATAAATAAATGAAAGAAAGAAAGAAAGAAAGAAAGAAAGAAAGAAAGAAAGAAAGAAAGAGAAAGAAAACACTACTTAGTAGAAGCAGTGGAGAACAAAACAGATAAGGTCTCTGCTCTCCTGGAGCTTGTGCTTCTCATGGGCAAAGGCAGATAAGAAGTAAACAAACATTTCAAACACAGTAAATGCAGATTGGGATCGCTACCAAAAGAAAATATGAAGAGCAACGAGAGAGAGGGAGACATGGAAGGCAGCATCTTAGACAGATGGTCGGAGAAGGTCACTTTCTGGAGGTGACACTAAGTTTGAAAAGCGATGGACGAGAATGTGCTAGGTGTTCAAGGGGGAAGAATATACCAGGTTGAAGGAACAAAGAACAAGAGCAAAGGCCCAAAGGCAGGAAAGGACCAAGTGTCTCAGAGGCCTGGAGGGGAGGCCCATGTGGCTGTAGCATAGTGAACGAGTGTGAGAGGGGGGACAGGTTCCAGGGGGTGGGTGAGTCGGATCCCCCAGTGCCTTGTGGTCTGTGGTTAGAGTCTTGGTCTCCGTGTGATGGGCACTGGGGAAGGATTGAAAAGAAAGGATGTGACTTGACTTTATTTTTGCAAGATCACTCTGGCTACCGTATAGGGCCTGGATTATGTGGGCCAGGTAGCAGGTAGGGGGTGGAACCAGGCTTGGATTGTAAAAGCCAGGTTGAAGGGCGTGGGGACAGGTCTGGGGTGCTTTTCTGTGCGGCTCTTCCATGAAAACAAAACCAATGATGAGATGTCCACCGAGTTTCTGGTCCTCCGATTAGGGTTGTGTTCACCCTGTGTCCTGCCTTCCCTCACCAGGTTTGACTATGAGGGGCTAGAGCCCAAGGCGACATATTACATCATGAGGGACCTGGAGGCCCTGGTCACAGACAAGTCCTTCATCGGCCAGCAGTTTGCCGTGGGGAACCACGTCTACAGCGTGGCAAAGACAGACTGCTTTGAATACGTGGACCCCGTGGATGGCACCGTGACCAAGAAACAGGTACTTGCCAGCAAATTACCAGAACAGGCAAAGCCAGGAGCCAAAGTGTCCTCTAGCTGGAGAGGTCTTTGGGAATCATCTACTCTGAGTGCTTTTTGATACACACGAGAGCCCTGCAACCTTGGTGAAGGTTACCTACCTGGTCAGTGGCAGAGGGCACAGTAGCGCATAAGGCCTTGACTGTCCAGGGCTCGTTCTACTCGTAACTGACAGACCAATACCACACACCGGCTGTCCATCTGGTGGCCATCAGAGATTCAGAAACGTTTCCAAGAGCAAAATATCCCTTTTCCTCGGGGCTCCCAAGTGCAGGGATGTTTCACCTTTTATTACCGTATGTCATTAAGAGCAGTAGGAGCTTAGCCCGATGGGTTCCTAGGGGAAGAAACAGTTGGAAAATATGCCCCACAGAGTCCAAAAGGAAGATTTGTGGTGGAGAAGTACTACGAAAGATAAACTGACAAAATCAACGGCTTCTATTCCGTTCTCATCTTTGTGGATTGTGTAAGAGAAGGTGACCGCTATTACAATCATTTTTTCTCCTAGGCTTTGTTTATTTCTCGGCTAGGGCAAAAACTGACCACTCTGGGTGCACATTTTAACATGGACAGCTCAGATAAGACACCGAGCGATGTTAAGGAAAGTTCCGCTCTAAAATCCCAAATTCTTATCTTCTTCATTCTTCTTCATTGTTATTCTTCAGTAAGTACAGACAACAAAAGAAACCAGCAGCTATAGGGTTTGGGGGACTGGATATACTGGTGGTTACTGATATTTTTATTTTGACTAATAGTTCGCACATCGTCCTTGTCCTAAGGTCCCCGACTTGCAGATGTTCCAAAGCCTGATGCTCCCCTGTTACTTTCTTGGTATTCTCCCTCTGGTCTGCTGAGTTTCATGGTGATCTTCCGTCTCTATTAAAATGTGATCAGTTTTCTATTCTAGAAGGCCTTCTGAGGCTGGACAAATTGTTTGCAGTTTTACTTTGGAAAGGTATAGGGTAGTGAAGATAAGAGTGGTCAAGAAGTTGGAAGACCCAGAATCAAATCCTGTTGCTGTCCCACTTACCAGCTATAGGACTTCTGGAAAGTTCCTCGAGCCACAGTCTCCTCCTCATCTGTAAAATATCTGTCTCACAGAGCTGTTTGAGAAACGTGATGGAAGTGGAGTGCCTGGGTGGCTCAGTCGGTTAAGCATCTGACTCTCAGTCGCGGCTCAGGTCATGATCTCACGTTCTGTGAGTTCGAGCCCACATCGGGCTCCGTGCTGATGGTGCGGAGCCTGCTTGGGATTCTGTCTCTCCTTCTCTCTGCCTCTCACCTGCTTGTGCACGCTTGCCCTGTCTCTCAAAATAAATAAATAAACGTAAAAAAAAATGCGATGAAATAAAATATACAAAAGCTCCTAGCTATCCTTTCTACAAGAAGTATACGCTACATTTTTTGTAGTTGTGTTGTGTTTCACACGAGGATGCTTTCTGGTGGACGGGATTGCATCATCTCCAAAATAACATTAATGAATCTCCGGAGATGTGAGGTCAGGAGCCCAGCACATGGGTGGGACCTTGGAGCCTCTAGGTCTCAGATAAATCTTTTCCAGTTTTGTACCATATTTCCTACTTCCATTTTTCAAAGGAACCTCAGAACAAACTTTTCACAAATCCAAGGCTCATGTAGAATTCCAGAGTCGTAAAATATGTGCTTTCCTAATTATTCTTGGGAGGATTTTGTTCCCTGACGAGGAAGGTTTGAAAACTGTTCCCTGAAAGGATTATCTAGGCAACACTAGGTTCTGGACTTAATCTGCTCAGGAGAAGCTTGTCTGTTGAGCTAATTTGTTTTGCTGTTAAATTCACTAACACTCTACCTTGCTCCTTCATCCGTGCAAATTTGTATCCTTTCCTTCTTGACCCTTTTAACAGTTCCTATCAGGATAATTCCTCAGCTAGATCTCACGTGTAGATCTCTCTTTATTCCTTGTCCCCTCCCCTGCAACCCCGAACACTGGTTTCCATTTTTACTCTGGAACTTTTTTTTTCTTTCCATGCTCTTTCGTATTAGCTCAAATGTGGCCGTAAATAGTAAATGCTACCAGGAGCTGCTCTGGGGAGTTTCTCTAGAAACAAAGGAAGGTCGTTGTTCATCTTCCCAGTTTCCAGGACCCCAGTGACTGTTTATCAATGGGTGGCCCTAAGTCACCCTGGAGTTTCTCCGTCGGTCTGCGTTTGGCTCCCTGAGGGTTTTGGGAGACAGTTAACACTCAGCAGCATGACCATTGTCAGTGACTCATAGATGGTTCTTTTGCACCGCAGTTTGGTCCTATTGGAGCAGAGGAGGAATTCCTGTGTCCTGGGACTGTTGGGAAACTTCCAGCACTGAGGCACACATCTCCGCACTCCTGGAAGTCCGTAGTCCTCTGAGCATTTGGTTCCAGGGATGGTTAAGTCTGGGGCACGAGTCATATGACGTTGGTGCAGAATGGCAGTGTCTACTCCTAAAAGATATACTTGAATTTAAATGAACATGTATTATTTTTAAATAGCCATAATGCACGTGGGGGCATTCAGTCAGCAGATATTTCTTGAGAGCCTACCAAGTGCATAATAATTGTTTTTTTCTTTTTTCACGGAACAGTTTTCGAATATAAATGTAGAACAGCTTTATTGAGATGTAATTTACATCCCATACAATTCACCCACTTAAAGTACAATTCAGTGGTTTGGTTTGTAGTAGATTTATAACATTTTGCGATCATTACGATGGTCCATCTTAGAACACTGTCGTCACCCCCAAAAGAGACTTGTCCTCTTTAGCTGTGATCTCCATTTCCAACCCTGGCCATCCCCAGTCTCCTTCCTGGGTCTATGGATTTGCCTATTCTGGGCATTTTACATAAATGAAATCATACAACATGTAGTCTTTTGTGACTAGCTCCTTTCTCTAAGCACAACAGACCATGTGTCAGTATTCCACTCTTGCTGACGAATAACGTCCCATTATGGGGCTAGACCACATTTTGTTTATCCACTCGTCAGCTTGCGGATATTTGGGTTGTTTCCACTTTTTTGACTGTCATGAATAATGCTGCTGTGAACATTCACGTAAAGTTTTCGTGCAAAGGCTCTCCGTTATCTTGGGCGTAGGGCTAGGAGCGGCATCGCTAGGTCAAATGGTGACTGTAGTTTCACCTTCGAAGAAACAGCCATATGGTCTTCAAAGCAAATTACACTGTTTTACATTCCTGCCAGCTGTGTATGCTGGTTCCAACTTCTGCACACTTTGGCCAACTTCTGTTACTATCTTTCTGATTAGAGAACGCTGCAAATTAATCTATTAAATGCTGTGCTATTTTAAAATTAAGAGAGAAGAGATTGGATCTCCATACGGACAAACAAACGTTTGCTGTGGGAGGCAGAGGACTGTGGTCTCTCCGGTGTTGGGTCCTGTTGGAGGCAAACAGACATAGACTTGAAGGCTGGCTTTGTCGTTGCCTGCATTTGTGACTTTGGGCGTATTGCTTAACTTCGCTTAACTTGATGGGGCAGGTGGGTGGCATGCTGGTGATAAATATCATATAGGGTCACAGAGGAGGTTGGAGGAGAAAGTCCTGTAAAGCCCCAGGCACAGCGGCTGGTATCCATTTGATATTCAAGAAATATCCGTTGCTTCCCCCTTTCCAGAATCCTTAACTTTGGAGGAAAGGGTGTGAGTGGTGTTCAAGGGTACAGGCTCGAGATCAGAAAGTCTCGGGCGTGAATCAGCTCTGCCACGTCCTCACTGGGTGATTTTGGGAAGTTTCTCAACCTCCCTGTGCCTTTCCTTGTCTGTGAAAATAGGAATCATAACTGTGGCTCCCTCATCCAGCCATGGGGGGAATTAGATCATACACGTAAAGCCCTGACACACAGTAACTACTAATAAACGGTTAACTAAAATAAGTTATGTTCAAAGAGCGTCCTTGGGAAAGAATGACTTTGACATCTCACGCCATGTTTGATGAGAAAAGTGGGGAAAAGCACACCGAACAGCGTACGACTTTGTAGGGTGTCGTGTGAAGACATGGGAAGGTCTCTTCAGTTTCTGAGTCATTTGTGAATTGATTCAGTCGCGTTTCTCTGCCTTCCCCAAGTCTCCCCCTCCCCCATCTCTCCCATCCCACTCGGTTTCAGAAAAGAGAAAGTGTTTTAAAAACAGCTCTGTCTCCTTTTTGTCCTTGATTTGGGGTCAAAGTCAGGAAACAGACTGTGGGGGGAAAAGAAAAGCCCATTTCACATATATCTCTAGAGATAAAGAAAACATGCTCCTCCGTCCAAAATGAAATTAAAATCCTGTTCTGGTGATAAGCCCTGCCCCCCTATCTGCTTCACTGCTGTGGAAAATGTTCAGGAAAGTCTGTCCTGCCTGTGAGACCACGTGGAGGCCATTTAAGGAGCAAGAAGGACACCCCCGAAGTATTTAACCCCTGACATGAATTCCCAGGGACCTCACTGGCCTTCCTGTCGCCTGTCAGGTCTCGTGGAATTTACTATGGCTGCCTCCAAGCGGCTGATGTTTTCATGATGTTGGGCACCAAGAGGAAAGTTGATGTGTGCCTTCCATTAAACAGGACCCAAGAGGAACTCTGATTTAGAAATAGCAATTTAGCGAGGCATGGTTCAACAACTGTAGTTCATTCTCTCCTGTCCCATGAGGATGTGTCTCTGTTTATTATCAGGTAAAATTGAGTCACATGAATGAGTAATAATGCCTTCTTCAAATATGAGTGGGAAAAACAAGCCAGTAGCTCCTATGAGAGTAGGGAGTTCAATCCAGTGGCCGACTAACTTAAGAGGCTCCCACTGTATTTAAGAGGCATATAGTTGGGAGAAGGGAATAGTTGAGGGAAGGGCAGGTACCTCCCTAAGGCTTGACAGGTGGCCCACTCTTTCCTCAAGGATGAGTTCATTGTACAAACGTCAAGATTTTCCATGGTGCTAGGCACTCTCGCTTTTCCTCACCTAT